GGACATAAGAAAAGCCAGCAACCGTAGGAATTTAAGAACTCATGTGCAAGGCTCGCAGGGAGGGCTTGAGTGAGGCCACTCACAACCAGCACCAGGGAGAGGTGGAGAAAAAAATTACAGGAGGAAGAGAACGGTCTGTTCTCTCCAGCTCAAACTTATTCTCTGCCGTTGGAGCAAGTTCAATTCTTTTGGACAGCCGCGACAGAAAGGAGAACGGCAAGTTGTACTGCGTTCAGCTCTGCGGTCCCCAACGTTAGAGAGGGACATGGAGCTGTTGGAGCGGGTCCAGAGGAGGCCATGAAGATGATCCAAGGGCTGGAGCACCTCTGCTATGGAGACAGGCTGAGAGAGTTGGGACTGTTCAGCCTGGAGAAGAGAAGGCTCCGGGGAGACCTTCCAGCAGCTTCCAGTACCTACAAGGGCTACAAGGAAGCTGGAGAGGGGCTTTGGACAAGGGCGTGTAGTGATAGGACATGGGGTGGTGGCTTTAAGCTGGAAGAGGGGAGATTTCGATGAGATCTAAGGAAGAAATTTCTTACAATGAGCGTAGTAAAACACTGAACAGGTCGCCCAGAGAATTTGTGGCTGTCCCATCCCTGGAGGTGTTCAAGGCCAGGTTGCATGAGGCTTTGAGCAACTTCGTCTAGTGGAAGATGTCCCTGCCCATGGCAGAGGGGGTTGAACTAGATGATCTTGAACGTCCCTTCCAACCCAAACCATTCTGGGATTCTATGAAAATGCAGCGGCTCTTACGTTTCTCTTACCTCTCAGGTTCATCTGGTGTGCAGGAGTCCCGTTGGATTCCTCTTTGCTTTTATAGCAGGAGATAGAGGTATCTTTGAAGGTGCACCAGTACGGCTTGTAGCCTTTCAACGTCAGCTTCTTGGGCCTGTCAGACAGGTTGAGGGATGTTACATTTGGTTTAAGCTCCTAAACCACACTGCTGCCCCGGGAAACTCATTTCACCCTTGAAAACTGTCCTGGTTTCAGCTGGGAAACCTGGTGGCAGCAGCATGGGCTATGGCCACTCCAGGGATGGTCCCTGCCTGGTTGCTCAGCCATCGCTCACCATCCCTCCGCTACAATGTTGGGTCAAGAAATTGAGCTGCCATTGTGAATTTGGACTCTTCAGTCCCATGGAGGTCCCACTGATTTGGGGCAAGGTGGAAAACTGTATTATAAAAGCAGACGTGTCCATGAACTGCTGCAGAATATTCCTCTTCACCTGCCATGTTGAACTGGAACCTCTGTGCTGGAGCTCTGAAACAAAATGGTACTTCTAAAAGACTTGTCACTCAAGCACATGCATGAGTACACTTGCTGTTTTCTTTTTAAATATTCCATATCAGAAAAGGTTCACTTCCTTTCCATGGAAAACATGGATTTTGCCCGACTGCAGAAGCAGTGATGGCCCTGTGAGCCTGCAGCAAAGCAAAGCACCATCCACCATGGTGGTACCCTCAGCCTACACATCCCATCACGAGCCCAGGACCTTCACAGAGCTGCGAGTTTGTGGTTTTTCTTAACCCATCCTAATTTCTAAATCTCATTTGAAGGCTGCGTCTGCAGTTTCTCACCACGATGCATTTCTCACATCCCCAGCCCTGAAGTAGCTGCTCAACTCTCATCTGCATTGATCAAACATGTGATGGTCCCAATTGTTTGTCCTCGGGATTCTGAGCTTTCATGTCCAAGCAAAAAGGTGCTGGGGGCTGCTCGGGGTGTGTGGGTCAGGAGGAAATCAGGGTGGTGGGGGACAATCACGGTGTCTGCTTGAACCCCGCTGCTCCCACAGCTCTGATGGACACCTGAGCACCTGCTGCCTCCTTCTACCTTTGCTGGTTTCCCTCCTCCCAAAGGCCTGGCACACGCAGCCCTGCCCCGTGCAACCTTTAGAGCCGCAATTCCCATCGAGAGCTGCCTCCCGCTCCAGAACAGGTCACCGACCTCCGGCCAAGCCATCCTACACGGGCAGGTTTTTCCATCCCTTCATTTTGCATCCCCCTCAAAAGACGTTTTAATACGTTTTTACTATCTGGAGCTTTTTTTGGTGGCCCTCTTTGAATTGCAGGCAGGATGTTTTGGCTGGCACGGGCAGTAACCTGGCTGGCAGGGGCGAGAGCAACATCCCCAGTTTCTGCAGCAACACCAACCAAGTACTGGGACATATATACAGGATTTAAATATATATAAGGCATACTAGGTACATATATTGTAGCTCTTCTATGAAGTGTGACAAGACGCATGTACAAAGCTGGGCCAGTTTCTAACCCCACATCATTGATATTGGGTTCCTGGCACTAAAATACTGCCTGGCCCTCAATTTTAGGAGCAAACAGCAATTCTGTGCTTCCCCACCACGCCAGGACAGCCTCAAACCCCAGCCTCGGGATTCGGGCTTGCACGGGGGCAAGGAACCAGCAGCTTCTTGCAGCTCCACCTCCAGCCCCACCGACTGGCACTCCAATTTGCAAGCAATTAGCTCCCTGACTCGTGCCTAATTTTACTGGCAAATAAGCACATCAAAGGAAAGAGCAAGTTTTCTGTTTGTTTGTTCAAGGGACAGAAAAAAAACGCACTGGGATGGAGGGCACAGGCTGCAGCCAAGACTTTGTCCCAGTTAAGACAGACGGCAAACCCAGATGGACGCGGAGACCTTATTAATTCACCTTCGGAGAGGGAGAAAGAGTTTTTCAGAACAGAAGTGGTAGGTTCTGGCTCCAGAACCAAACAATTAGTAAAATAAAGGCTTGTTCCAGAGCTATTTCGCTACCTATTGCTTTTCTCCTGCATCTTACAGCTATGCTGTGACATCTCATTGTTATTTCCAGCTTCCAGAACTTTCACCACAACCCTCGCCGCAGCAGGCAATAAATTGCAAAAGACGGTCGCGGCTGCCAAAACGTTACTCAAAGTCCAGACGCTGCCGTTCCCGGTTTCCACGTACCACTGTCCAAGTCAAAGTGAAATTAAAACAACCCCTAAACCCTGAGTGAGCTGGAAGAGGAGCCCAGTCAGCTTAACCTGCTCCTTCTGGCAAAGCGAGGGCAGACGGACCGGGATCCCGGCTGTTTATGATTCATCCAGCCTCTTGCAAACCGGGAGAAGCATCTGAGCAAAATTTCTTAGGTTTCACTCTTAATTTTAGGACAGCTTGATTATCTCACTGGCATTCATTGCATTAAAGGAATAGCCTGGCAACGAGCTGCTGGCTGCGGGATGCTGCGAGCTCTCCCGGAGGGATGCGTATCTGCCGGGGTGGTGCCAGTGGGAAAACACCCTGAGTTTTGTATTTAAGACCTGATGGACTTCAGTATTGAATATTTCAAACAGTGTGAAATGCTTCGTGACTGACAGGATAAAGAAGTTAAAATGTTTTAACAACAAGAGAGCGCGGATGCTCCGAGCTGCGGTATTACACAGCGGCTTTTCACTCGAGATAACACAGGGGGTGCAGCAAGATCTTAAGCCAGGAGATTTAAAAAAAAAAAAAAGGAATATTAGGTGGTAGGACCATTAATTATTCATCGACGTTACCCATTTCACAAGCGCCTCTTCCCATCAGCACTTACTTGAAGACTTTAATGTAGTCGGCGAGCTCCGGGATGGAAGTGATGTCACCCTGAAAAGAAAAGATTATCCCGTTCACCTGGCTGTCTGAGCAGAGCCAGGTGGTGGCTCCGGGAGGGAAGGGATGCTGTGTGGGGCAGGAAGCTGGTGGCAGCTTCACCGGCCAACGCTGGGGACTTGGGGGGTGACGAAAACGCTCCTGAGAAAGCCTCAGCAGCTTCACGGGAGGAGCAAGCGGAGAAAAATCTACGGCACGGGAAGTGCTGTTTGGAAACCAGAGGACA